GTGTGTGTGTGTGTGTGTGTGTGTGTGTGTGTGTGTGTGTGTGTGTGCGCGCGCGCGCACGGGGGGGAGACAACATCACTCCCCAGTCTACACATGTCTTCCTGTGGCCAGAGGTTGAAGTGAAGGGTGAGGCTGGTTACCAGGGACACCGCAGCCGGTTCCATGGGATTCCTGAAGAATGGAAAAGTCCTAAGTGGGTTTCAGATGCAGCATGGACTATGGGAACGTGGCCCCAGCCAGATTTCTGAGACAACCACTCCGTTCACCCAGTGGCTGCCCGCGCACGAGGACACGCGGACACGCAGACACGCGCAGACGTTGCACTCACCAGCACTCCGTTCCGTTGTGCCCAGGGCTCGTTCTGTTGTGCACAGGGCTCGGGCTGGCGGGAGCTGCTAGCTCACATGGAGGAGGCAGGTGATGATGGGTCCCGCGGGCAGGACCCAGAGAACATGGAACGAGAGATGGGGCAGTTTCTTAGTGTTATAAAGTCAATGGCATACCTCTTCCTCCAGGGCTTACTTAGATATCTGCATTACATTTTCTAAAGGCTGTAATTTGGGGCGCCTGGGTTGCTCAGTCAGTTAAGCATCTGCCTTCAGCTCAGGTCATGATCCCGGGGTCCTGGGATCGAGCCCCACGTTGGGCTCCTTGCATAGCGGGGGGTCTGTTTCTCCCTCCACCCCTGTTCCCCACTCATGCCCTCTCCCCCTCTCTCCAAATAATAAAATCTTACAAAAAAAAATAATAAAGCCTATGATTTATCTCCCAGGAAGTTCACCCAATTAAAGGCTGCAATGCAGTGACTTGTAGTAGATTTATGGAGTTGCGCAGCCTTCACCAGGATTCCGCTGTACAACATTTCATCCCTCCAGAAGGACCCTGCATATCCGTCAGCACTCAAGTCCCACTCCTACCTCCAGGCCGAGGCAACATCTAAGGGAATTTCTATCTCTTGTAGGTTTGCCCTTTCTGGGCACTTCCCGTAAACGGACTCATGCTTCAGGCGCACTTGTGTGTCCGTGCTCTTGCACGTAACATAACACCGTGGAGGCTCCTCCGTGTTGCTGCAGACACCGCAAGGTCATCCGTCTTCGTAGACCAGTGGCATCCACTGCCAGTTTGATTATCCTTTTACCCGTTGAGACTTTTAGACTGTTTCCCCTTTTTCACCGTGAACATCTGAGTACAAGTCTTTGCTTGGGCATAGGTTTCGTTTCCGGTTTCTCCATGTCCTCATTCTTTGTCTTGCATGATTGCACCGGCCGGACCCTTCAGTCAGTGCTGGACGGAAACGGTGGGCCCCGGCATCCTCACCTTGGTCCGCCTCTCAGGAGGAAAGCATTCATTCCTGCACTACTCAACGGGATGTGACATGAGACTCATTTTTCTTCTAGATACCCTTTATCGGAATGAGGACGTGCCCTTCTCGCCCTAGGCGGCTGAGCGTTTTTTTTTTTTTCCTTTTTTTTAGCATGAATGGGTCTTGAATTTTGTCAAATGTCTGTTCTCTGTCTATCGGGATGATCAACTACATGGTTCCCGTCCTCACTCTATGATGATGGTGTTTACCTTAATTGCATCTTGAACGCTAAAGCAATATTGCAACCCTGGGGTAAGTCTCACTTGGTTAGTTGCATACTCCCTTGTGAATGGTGTTGGATCTGGTGTGCCGTTTTGGTGAGGGTTTACGGGTGGACAGTCGTAATAGATATTGGTTTATAGATGTCTTGTGTTGTCCTGTGTGGCTTCGGTAGCACGGTAATATTGTCCTCATAGGCTGAGTAAGGAAGTCTTCCCTCCTCCTGTCTATTCTGGAAGAGTCTATGAAGGACGGCTACTGTCTCTTCCCACAGTTTACCAGAATTCACCAATGAGGCCCTTCCTCTGTGGGAAGGTTTTTAATTCCCAAATTCAATGTCTTTACTTGCGATAGGTCCACTCAGAGTTTTCTCTTTGAGCATATTCCATTTTGCCCCCCTTCTCTCCCTGTGATTTCTTGCCTCCTGGTGGCTCTGCCTCCGGGTCTCTGGTCTGGAACCTGGCGTGCGGAACATCTCTAGACCTCACTGGATTCTGGCCCCCCAGTCCGGAACTTGGGACCGTATGCTGTGTCAGATGGGAGCCCCAGATATGCTCGTGCGCTCCATACGTAGGCAAGGGGACCATGCCTTCGAGGGGGGGGATGGGGTGGCACCAATGAGTCCCTCGGGTACACCCACCCAGCCATTCTCCATGGGCCCCCAGGTAGGCCGTAAGTCTGTGGTGAGGAGCGCCCTCAGCAAGCCCCCGGTCTGCACTGCCCTGCCCGGGTCCTGCCCGCTCCTCTCGTCTCCCGGCGAGGCAGCCGCACAGGGGATCCGTGACGGCTCCCTGCCACACGTCTGGGTGTCCCAGCTCTCCCTGATTGAAGGCTCAAGTCCCGAGGCCCGGGACCGTCTCGCCATTACTCCAAACTGCCCCGCCCCGGCAGCCAGCCTAGCACGGAGTCGGGGAGGCAAGGGAGACAAGGAAACCTTCACGAGTGGCTCTGCATTTGATGGTGGTTGGCGTGGCTGCAGAGGTGAGGCCACCTCCTTCCCGTCTCTGTGACTCTGCCAGGTGGGGAAGACTGGCCCTGCCCCAGGGCATTCTGCAGAGGATTCAATGAGGTAGCTCCTAAGACTTGGTGCTTCCAGCTGGGAAACGTCCACCAAAGTCACCGGTTCTCCGCACTTCACCCACAGCCTTTGTGGAGGTTACAGGTGGTGAGCTGGTTGAGATGCCCGCTCTGAATGCAGCCCGCCTAGGTCTGTGTGCCACGCCCCGATCCGGTGCCCACGTGCGCGACACTCAGCAAGTCACCTAACCTCTCTGTGCTCCGCTTCCCCACCTACCCATTGAGACTGAGGTCTTGCTCCACGAAGGGTCTCTGGGAGCGGATTCCATAAGCTGATATTTGCAAATATGCAGCATAGGGTCTGACAGCTAGTACACAATCAAGAGACTGAAATGCCATGTTACTCCTGCTCCCCACACCCCGAATGACCAGTCTGAATTGAGGCCTCAGAGTTTCAAGAAAGAAAAGTCCTGCTTTAGGGCGCCTGGGTGGCTCGGTCCGTTAAGCGTCTGCCTTCGGCTCAGGTCATGATCTCGGGGTCCTGGGTTCAAGCCCCACGTTGGGCTCCCTGCTTGGCGGGGAGTCTGCTTCTCCCTCTCCCTCTGCCCCTCCCCCTGCCCATGTTCTTTCTCTCTCAAATAAATAAATAAATAAATAAATAATCTAAAATGAAAAAAGAAAAGTCCTGCTTTATTGACCCTCTCCTTCAAGTGGGAGACAAGCCTGGCAGGGTCAGGTGAGCTCCTAAGCTCTCAGATGAGATCACAAGTTGAGAACATAACAAACATACCTGTGCTCAAGCCACTTCCCTCTGCGGGAGACTCGTACATCTTGGCAGCAACACAGCCCTGGGGACTACCTAAAAATAGAGCCTGACAGAAAGCAGAATTTATTGTCAGTTTAGAGGAATCGCATGGGCATTTCGTGGGTACACAGCATTGGATCCTGTGTTTGTGTGTGGGGAGGGGGGAAGGCGCCAGGTGGGGGGGGGGGGACCGATTCATTCAATGAATCCTGAAATGAAAAGGCACGTGCCTAAATCCCAAAACGACTCTCCAATTATTCAACGATGCTCTGGTGGTCCCGCAGGAGGCATGCAACTGCCGTTCCCATGCACCAACCCAGGGCCACCAGGCAACGAACGAGGAATGGCCCCTGAAGATCCTGAGGCCAGGGGAACCGGCACCATCCCGCGGGAGCTCCTACCGTGTGCAGCGGACTCTGCTTCCAACTCTCTGTGGGCAGGAAGACTCTCCTCCCCTTGGCTCCTGGATCATGTGAAGGCCGGTCCTGCTGCAGGGCCGCAGACGGTGACGTGATGCTGCTCCCTGGTGCCCTCCCCGTCCCCTGCCCCAAACCCGCACAGTTTACAGCTCCGCCTGATAAACCGTGATCTGCTGCTCTAGGATTTAAATGTCGTCATCTCAGACCTAACAAAGAACAAAGCGACAGGGATCAAGAAACCAGAACTCAAAAGCTATTTTCCTTTCATACGCAGATTTATTTGGTACGCATGACGAGGCAACCCATCAGAAATTCCGCCAAGGGGAGTACCATCAATGTCACGAAGCAGGGAAACGTTGACCTACATTTAGCTCAGCGTATTCATAATGGCTTACACAGAGAACACCGTGGTGAACCCCCACGTTCCAGTTCCACGTCCCTTTCCGTCAGATGCTCGATTTAGCGTCAGATTCTCGGAAGTGGGGCTCAGTTGAGCGCACGGGCATCCCAGCAGACCTAGTGCTGCTTCTGGGAGGCGGTCAGTGACACGGCACGAAAGCACATGGCCATCACCAGGGCATTCATGCTACAGAGAAACCCTATATCTTACTGACGACAAGGCAGGGAGGAGAGACAGACATCCGGGGTGGGAAAGTGACAACATGCATCACGGGAGCCGAAACACGGAAGTTAAGGACCTCTGGTACGCAGTGAACCACAGAAAGCCCCACGGTGACCCAGAAATTCCAGGCAGGAAAGGGACTGGCTCCACGCTCACACGGACCGAGTGTCCAGTCCTCACGCTGCTTTTGCTCCTTCTCTGACTTCTCTGACCGCTTACTGTTCGGTCCCCAAAAGGAACCAACGCTCAGGATCTGGCCACACCAGCCTCCACGTCTGAATCCGTTCAGATCTCTGTCACGTGAGGACAAGAGCCTCAGTTTTCTTTCAACCACTGCTTCAGGAGCCTCTGGAACATTCTTTTGCTTTCCTGCTGCATCTCCAGTTGGAGCTTCTCCTCTCTCTCCTGCTGTTGGAGCACCCCTTCGGGCAGAAGGCCGGACCGGCTGGTCCCCAGGCTGAGGGTCAAGCCACTGAGGCCCTGCACCAGCGTGTCCCAGGAGGAAGGATGCGGGGCCCCTTTCCTCTCTGCAGGCATCCCGGAGACGCTGGGCCTATGGCTCTGGCAGTATCGACATTCACATCGGAATCTGTTCGGATCCCTATCCCCCGAGGAAGGGATCCTGGCCTTCCTCTCGACCCGGTAAGGTGCCACGTGATCGAGGTGTCGCCGTCTCACAGGCCCCAGAAGTGTTCTCTTCCTCTGAGGGGACGCTGCCCTTTCCCACCGCCTCTCTTGGAGGGTTTTCTCATCCCTGTACCGCTGCTGGAGCAGCCCCTCTGGCAGAGGGGCAGGGCATCTGGTGCCCGGACCGGTTTTGAGGTCACCGAGGCCCATCATTAGCAGTTCTGAGAAGGACGGAGGGGAGGCTGCTGTGACTTCCCGGGAGGTCTCTTCAGAGCTCATCGGGGAAGATTCGGGAATCAGTGTTGAGTTACGTTTCTGAACTGGATCCATGGAGGCGTCGTCGCTGCTCACAGCTCCGCCTGGCCCTTGGGTCTAGACAGGATGGTGAAGATGAAGGTTCTCAAAGAGCTGGAAGGTAGCGGAGGGACGGGCACGGCCGGAAGAACCCAGACTGCAACACATGGTGATAAAAGAAGAAAGAAAACCCGTTATTGTTCCTCTGACTTCAGCTTTCCGTGCCTCTGTCTCCTATCTGTGAGATGGGGACGACAGTGAGCCCTAGTCGCGAGGACTGTTCTGTGCTCTCAGTGAGATAATACAGTTCCAAGAGCTCAGAACACTGATGGCATATAACCAGGGTCTCAGAAGTGAGAGCCTAATATCGCGTCCACCCACGTGACCCGCCATGCAAAACGACGTCCTGCAGTCAACCACGGTAATTCCTGCAGACGTGTTGTAACTGTTCTCAAGCATCACTTTAAGAACAATCCATGTGTGACTGGCTTGTGCCCTCCTCCTAGGTGTTCATGTACTTTCGAAAAGGAGACATTTGCTAAAATCTAAGCATTTCACCATGCTCCCCGGGAGGGACACATTCTTTTCAAGTTTCACTGGCTTTCATCTACTTAAAAAGGATATTCAAGCCTATGGACATCATTTGAAAATTCCCCCGTAAGAATAAATAAGAATTTACCAACGCAAAAGAACAGAAATCAATGATATTTCTAACAAGACACATTAGAGGAACTCAAATCAAAAGTTGCTTCTTTGAGGGCCACCTGGGTGGCTCAGTCGGTTAAGCGGCTGCCTTTGGCTCAGGTCATGATCCCAGAGTCCTGGGATCAAGCCCCACGTCGGGCTCCCTGCTCAGCGGGGAGCCTGCTTCTCCCTCTTCCTCTGCCTGCCTCTCTGCCTACCTGTGCGCTCTCTCTCGCTCTCTCTCTCTCTGTCAAATAAATAAATAAAATCTTTAAAAAAAAAGTTGCTTCTTTGAAATGATCCATAAAATTGATACACCTCTCACAAGACTGAGGAAGGAAAAGAAGAAAAACAGAGAGAAGAGCAGAGCAAGATACATCCCACTTCATGCTTTCTAGCCATACGACAAAGCCAGGGAAATCAGAACAGTGTGGTACTGGCATAAAAACCGACACACAGACCAATGGGACAGCATCGAGAGCCCAGAAATGACCGCCTGCATATACCGTCAACCAATATTTGACATAGGGATCAAGAATACGCAGCAGAGAAAAGACAGTCTCTTCAATAAATGGTGCTGGGAGAATGGGATAGTCACACGTCAAAGAAGAAAGCTGGACTCCTGGCTTATACACACAAAAATGTACTTGAAATCGATTAAAGACTGCAACGTAAGACCGGAAACCATAAAACTGCTGGAAGGCTACATAACAGAAAAGCTCCTTGACACGGGTCTTGGCCACGAATTCCTGGATATGACCCCCGAAGCACAGGCAACAAAATCAAAAAGAAACAAGTGGGGTTACATGTAACTAAACAGCTGCTGCTGTTTCCACCAAAGAAACCACCAACGAGGTGACAAGACAACTTATAGGATGGGAAAAAATATGTGCAAACCGTGTTATCTGTCAAGGGGTTCATATCCAAAATATAGAAAGAACTCATACAACTCCATGGCAAAAGGGCTAATGATCCAATTTAAAGACGGGTAAAGGCTGTGGATAGAGAGTTTTCTAAAGGAGACGTACAAATGGCCAACAGGGACAAGAAAAGCGGCTCCAAACCACTAAACATCAGAGAAATGCGAATCAAAACCACAATGAGGTATCACCCCACACCTGTTAGAATGGCTAGCATCAAGAAGACAAGAGATAAAAATGCTCGCTGGGATGTGGAGAATAAAGAAATCATGGGGCGCCTGGGTGGTGCAGTTGGTTGAGCGTCTGACTCTTGGTTTCGGCTCAGGGTGTGGAAAAGATAATCAGATTTGTGGTTATCAGAGGTGGCGATTTAGGGAGGGAGAAAACAATTGGAGGATAACTTCCAGTTATAAGATAAATAAGTATCGGGGGTGTAACGTACAACATGATGACTAGTTAACACTGCCGTGTGGTATAAATGAAAGTTGTTTGAGAGTAAATCCCAAGAGTTCTCTTCACAATGAAAATACTGTTTTCCTTTTCTTCGTTTTCGATCTATAGGAGATGGTGGATGTCAACTAAGCTTATTGCGGTAATCCTTTCATGATATATGTAAGTCCAAGTATTATGCTGTTTCCCTTCTACGCTGCCTGTGTCACTTACATCTCAAGAAAAGTGGAGAAAAAGAGAGAGAAAAGAGAGAGAGAAGAAATAAGTTACCAATAGCAGGGATGAAAGAGGAGATTTTGCTAGAGACCCAGCAAATATGAAAGAAACTAGGCGGCAGTATTACGTTCAAATCAACATATATAAATGCAACAGCTAGGGAACAGATGGATTACCCGAAACCCATAAACCATCAAAACTTACCCAAGGCGAGATAACATGCACAGTTCAGTATCGTTTACAGAAACTGACTCAGTTGTTTAAAACCTCGACGACAGTGGAGCCTGGGTGGCTCAGTCATTAAGCGTCTGCCTTCAGCTCGGGTCATGATCCCAGGGTCCTGGGATCAAGCCCCGCATTGGGCTCCCTGCTCAGCGGGAGGCCTGCTTCTCCCTCTCCCACTCCCCCTGCTTGTGTTCCCTCTCTCTCGCTGTCAAATAAATAAATAAATAAATCTTAAAAAAAAAAGCACCTCGACAACAATCCCAGACGGTATCGCCAGTGAATTCTACCAAATATCGACAGGAGAAACAGACAGACGCAGATATTCTACACAATTTCCTCCAGAAAACTACGTGGAGGAAACACTTGCAAGTGATTTAGGAGGCTAGCATTTCACTGATAGTAAGAAAAGAAAACCACTGACCAATGTTCTTTCTTAGCACAAGCACAAAATTCCCCACCAAAATACCAGCAGTGGAATCCAGCAATCCATTCAGAGAAAACACACCATGATCAAGTGGGTTAGTCCAGGAAAGCAAGGGTGGTTCAGTAACTGAAAACCAACTAAGGCAATCCTCAGATTTAGCATATAACTGATTAAGCAACGTCATCTCATTAAAAAGAAAAATGAAAGACTCAATACTATGCCTATCAAAATCCCAACGGCATCTCTCAGTAACAGAGAAACAATCCTAAAATGCATCTGGAACAACACAAGACCCAGAACGGCCAAGGCCACCTTGAGGAAGAACACAGTTGGAGGTACCAAAGTCCTTCATTTCAAAACACAGTCCAAGGCTACAGTAAGGAGATCAGTATGGTACTGGCGGAAAGACAGACACAGACCAATGGAACAGAATAGAACCCAGAAATAAACCCAAGGCATGTACAGTCAACTGATCTTGACGAGGATGCCAATAATACCCAGCGGGGAGAGGACACTCTCTTTGACAAATGGCGCTGGGAAAACCGGATGCCCACGTGCAGAAGGATGACACTGGACCCTCTGTTACACCACACACGACAATCAACCCAAAGGGGACTGAAGATTCAATATAAGACCCGATACTGTGAAACTCCTGAAAGAAAACGTAGAGTAAAGCTGCATGACATTGGTCTTGGCAATGATCTTGTGGAATCAACACCCACGGCACAGGCAAGAAAAGCAAAAATAGACAAGTGCGACTACATCAGACTTAAGAGCTTCAGCACAGAAAAGGAAACCACCAACAAGGCGCAAAGGCAATCTGCAAAATGGGCAAAAACATTTGCAAACCACGTATCTGACAAGGAGTTGATTTTCACTACGTATAACAAACTTTCCCAACTCAATAGCAAGAACACAAACAAACCAATGTAAAAATGGGCAAAGGATTTGAATAGACATTTCTCCAAAGAAGCCATACAAATGGCCAAAAGGCATACGGAAAGTGGCTCCACATCCCTAATCATCAGGGAAAGGCCAGTCAACATCACAATGAGCTGTCGGGCCGCACACGTGAGGAAGCTTCTCGTCAGAGCAACTACCAAACACAGCAGATCCCAAGTGTCGCTGGGCATGTGGAACACGGGAACCCTCATGCCCTGTCGGTGGGACGCAACCTGGCGCAGCCACAATGGAAAGCACTACGGAGGTTCCTCAGAAAGGTAAAGCTAAAACTGTCATAGGTTCTTGCTCATATCGGAGTGCCCCCCTCCAAAACAACAAAAACTAAAAACCAAAAAACCTACCATATGACCCAGCAATCCCACCCCTGGGTCTATGTCCAAAAGAACTGAAATCGGCATCTCAAAGAGCTGTCTGCACTCCCGTATTTACTGCAGCTTTCATCCCCGGATGCAGGATAATGGAAACCACCCAACTGTCAGTCAACAGAGGAGTGGATAAAGGAAGCGTGGCACGTGTACACAATGGGACATGAGCAGCCGCACCAGAGAGAAGGAGATCATGCCATTTGCAGGCCAGCTGCTGTGGATTCAAGAATGGGGACAGATGATGCCGCCTCTCACTCAGTGCCTCCCACGGGCCAGGTAATGTCAGCTCCGTGTTTCACATCTATCGTCTCCTGCAGGTCTCCCAACAAACCTCGGGGAGGCAGAGTGACTGCCCTTTCACCAGGAGGAATCTGAGGCTGAAGGAGAGAGACTGAATGGCGGGTCTGCCCTGGAATCCAGCAAGAGTGTCAACCGAATGCTGGGGTGCAGGGAGAGGAGTCTGGAGATACAGGCAGGCACCAGGACACAGAGAGCTTCCGATGCCATGTGGCAGTTACGGACTGTCACATGCTCTGTTACCTGCCCTGCCCCCCCCCCCCAGCCCCCCGCACCAGAAGCAGCCCCTAGCTGTCCGAGGACAGAACGGGAGTGACCGGCATTCAGGCACAAGATGGAAGATGATGTGTATTTGTGTTTCTCCCAGGTGGGAGACCCACAGCGGGAAAGCCAGCCTTCTGGTGAGGGTCATCCGTGCGTGATGCAAAGGATGAGAAGAGAGTGGCACAGCAAGAGAGTCTCTGGGGCCGAGCGGACACGTCGGATGCTGTCTTCGTGGTCTTGGCTGTGGCTCATCAGTGTGAAGCGTGACCTGCAACCTACCCCGGGGCAGCCTCAGTGGCTGCAAAGACAGGGAACGTGCCAGGCACAATTCTGGGAACCATCCTTGCAT